GAACTAGGAAGCCTAGTTCGAACTACCTAGTTCGTGCCGCGTGTAGCCGCGCGGCACGGGGTTCGAACCAGCCGGGATTTAAAAATGGCGGTGCCCAGCTTATGCAAATGAAGCCCGGGAAATACAAATCCCGGGCTTCATTTGCAATTGCGGCATGCCTACATTACCCTCCTATTTCGAAATAGGAGGGTAGTGTAGACATACCCTGACTGAGCTTTTCCAGAGCTGAGCTGATTTCAGTGTCTGCTGTGGGCTGTGGCCTCAACTCTGAGCCAATGCTTGAGGACACCAGAGGATCTGTCTCAGCAGGACAAGATGTAAGGAATCCTAAAAGGCAGGTAGGCGGGGTCAGTAGTACTTCAGCCCATCAAGTGATAGTCTCAAGGGAGTATCTGTGACTGAAAGTGCCACAGCAGCATTAACATGAGTTTTCAGGCAAAAGTATAATGAGGGTGCCTTCAGACCATCACTGTGCACTATTCTGACATCTTTCCTGTACTGACACTGAATTCAAGGACATTAGCTTCTACATGATGGATCAGACAGATCCAGGAAAAGAAGAGAGAGGCCTCAGGGTGCAGAGACGAGGAATCACATGGCCCAAAGACTGGGAGGCTCACAGACAATACCATCAAAAGGAAGACACATAGAATACCGTGGGAGACAGAATGATCCATCCGCTGACTTGACTTGACATCCCAGGAGAGTCAGATTCACCTGCAAGGTCACTGGAGGATTACAAAATCCAAAAGAACTCCAAGGCTGTGTCTAGACTGGCCAGTTTTTCCAGAAAATCAGCCGCTTTTCCGGAAAAACTTGCCAGCTGTCTACACTGGCCGCTTGAATTTCCGCAAAAGCACTGACGATCTCATGTAAGATTGTCAGTGTTCTTGTGGAAATACTATGCTGCTCCCGTTCGGGCAAAATTCCTTTCGCGCAAAACTTTTGCGCAAAAGGGCCATTGTAGACAGCCCAGATTGTTTTTCGGCAAAAAAGCCCCAATCGCGAAAATGGTGATCAGGGCTTTTTTGCAGAAAAGCGAATCTAGATTAAAAAGTGCTTTTGCGGACAAGAGTCTGTGCCAATCTAGACGCTCTGTTCCAAAAATGCTTTTAACGGAAAAGTTTTCCCTTAAAAACATTTCTGGAAAATCATGCCAGCCTAGATGTAGCCCAAGAGTTCTATTATGTTAGATCATCAGAGCATCTGGCACTGGCCACTGTCAGGATATATCTAGACAGTGGGGCTATTTTGGGATACCAGAGGTATCCCGAAATATCTAGCCAGTGTCTTTTAAAGGCATCTGTTATTTCAAAATATTTTTTTGAAATAACGGGCACGCTATTTTGGCATCCCTGTAACCCTCATTCCACGACCGTTAAGGGATGTGTCTTAATAGCACATCATTTCAAAATTTGGGGCTGCATAGACACGCCAGATTTTGAAATAAGCTATTTTGAAATAAGATATTCAATTTGTGTAGCACAAATCGCATATCTTATTTTGATTTTAGGATGCTGTGTAGACGCACCCTCAGAAGACAGGATACTGGCCTAGATGGACAAGGTACTGACCCAGTATGGCCGTTCTTATGTTCTTACATTCCTATTTGCATTGTAGTAGAAACCAGAGGTCCTGATCAGGGTCAAGGCCCCACTGTGCTGCATGATGTATACACATATCCTTACCTAAAGACCTTGTCATAAGTAATAGGTCGTTTCCATCTCCGCTTTCTATGAAATAATGGGACTAACAAAATAAACATGATAGCAGTTCTCAAGTACCAAAGAGGGTGTTATAAAGAGGACGGAGAAAAATTGTTCTCTTTGACTTCTGATGATAGGACAAGAAGCAATGGGCTTAAATTGCGGCATGGGAGGATATTAGGAAAAACTTCCTAACTGACAGGATGGTTAAACAGTAGAATAAATTGCCTACAGAGGTTGTGGAATCTCCATCACTGGAGATATTTAAGAGCAGTTTAGACGGACATTTATCATGGATAATATAGCCCATTCTTGGTACTGCCATGGGGGCCGGAGACTGGACTTGATGACCTCTCCAGGACCCTTCCAGTTCGAGTGTTCTTTGATTCTGTAATAAAGGAGGAACACAGAGAATGAGGAAGCATGAATCTATTGGATCCTTCAGTTCAGGGTCACTAACATTTGTGATAACACCACATGCTCTATGTCCCTCTGGAATCCCCAAGAACTAGTCTCTGAATTGCAAGGACACTTACATGCCTCCGATGACAGCCACTGAGTCAAATTCTATGCATACACATAGGTTACGTCTAGACTGCAAGCCTCTTTTGAAAGAGGCTTTTTTGAAAGATACTATCAAAAAATCCTCTTTCAAAAAAAAGCATCTAGACTACAACTGGTACTTTCGAAAAAGCAAGCCGCTTTTTCGAAAGAGAGCACCTAGGCAGTCTGGATGCTATTTTTTGAAAAAGTACAGTTTGCATTACATAGTGCCTTTTTTTGAAAGAGCACTTTTGAAAAAAGTCATTATTCCTTGTAAAACGAGGTTTTCCGCAGTCAAAAAAACTCATGCGTTCTTTCGATTTACTTTCAAAAGAATGCGGCAGCAGTCTAGATGGAGGGGAAGTTTTTTCAAAAAAAGGCCACTTTTTTCAAAAAAAACCAGTAGTCTAGACACACCTATAATGGGCAAGAGAGTTAAGACTCCAAACAGCATGGGAGGAGAAAGAGGCCAAGAGATTTGCGTAACATCTCTCCTCTATTACAGATGAGATTAGAACTCAGATCTTTGGATGCCACTATAGGGCTCTAGCTTTTACACAACATTGTGTGTGGCTCTTCACCACTGCAACTCCAGCTCTCACTGCCAGCTCCTGGAGAAAAACCAGTCCTGCCACATTGAATGAACAACTTCATTTCTCCCCAGAGAATTAGCCCATCATCGCTTTGATGCTTTCGTGCTTGAATCTCCCACACAGCCGCACCAGCTTAGTGTTTAATTTTGTTTCATTAGAAGATAATTATTTTTTAATTATATTTCATTATTTCTCTTAATATTTTCAATCCTGGCACTGATAGAAGCTTAGCAAAATTCAATCCCTTTTTCATTAGATAGCGTGGGTTGGCATTCACTTCACATCTGCATTAGAGATCATCACTGCTTCATGTGCAGTGATAATGCCTTGGAAAGGTTCTCTCATCACTACCCAGCACGTGTTTAGAGTCAGCTCATGCTGAAATCAGCT